CATGACTGACACAACTGCTCCAGTGTCAATTGTCATTTCCACAGGCACCTCGTTAATTACCATCTCCGTAGTAAAACTCTTCGGTTTAGGTCCATCTCCGGCATAGGCGATCGTGTACAACCCTAAATCATCAAAATTTTCATCTAGGCCTAACTCTTCATTAACACCTCAATAATTGATTTTACCTCTAGGCCTAGGCTTACCTCTGCATACATTAGCTAAATGGCCTACTTTGCCACATTTATGACAGTTGTAATTTTTGAATAGACAATTCTTACTATCATGTCCCTTTCCACAGCGGAAACACTGCTTGCTAAAAGAGTTGGGACCATCACAAGGTCCTTGAAAACTTCCATTAGGCCTATCACTGCCAATACTGAAATTAGGCCTCCGTTTATCATGACTATAGGCTACCTTTTTACTACCATATTTAATAGCATTCACTTCACTGTCTACACAGTTAACCTTATTTTCACCTTGTGTGAAAGGATGTAGTTGCCGCACACTACGGCTGGCATCTCCCATTACCATGGCTATTTCCAAGGCCTTCTTAAAATCAAAGCTACTACCTTCAGACAGTAATTTACTTTGTATTTCATTACATCTAAGTCCACACAAGAACTTGTCACGCAAAGCGTCATCAAGGAAGTCTTTGAATTGACAAGATGAGGCTAGTCGTTTAAGTTGAACTGCAAACTCTGCAATTGTTTCTCCCTCTTTTTGGGTTCTCTTATTGAAAACAAACCTTTCATATGTAATATTTTTACGGGGTTCATAGTGTGTGGTTAAAACAGTAATTACTTCTGCAAAAGTTTTCTCAGAAGGCTTCTTAGGTACAAGCAAATTTTTTTAGGACAGAGTAAAGCTCTGGTCCCATGACAGCGATGAACAAGGACAACTTGTTAGCATCGTCAATTTTATTAATGGTAAAAAATTGCTCGAGTCTTTCAACATAGTTCTCAAATGATTCCACTTCAATGTTAAATTTGTTAATTTTTCCTAGAATTTGTTTAGATGCCATTGAAATTCGAAATTAGGCTTGGGCTAGGCCTAGGAACAAACTTAGACATGAAGGACTTACACGTGGTGTTGCGCTATCATCCATTACCATCCGTCCACAGATGTATTTTTCTTTCTTCACAATTAGGTTAAATGACTTCAAAACCTTAAATCTTCTCTTCCAATCGTTTTGGGAGATTTTCTTCATAAATCTTTAAAATGAAACTGAAAAATGCCTTGTTCCTGGCAGGTTGAAAACTGAAAATTTGCCAAGTCTTATTGGCTGAAAACGAAAAGAAAAGAAAAAATATACTTTTAAATGTTCTAAACGCGCACAAATGAAAAGTAACTAAAAACTTGTTATCCTCGTCGCCAGTTATTGCTACTTTGACTGACTTGTAAAATAAACTATAAAGAGAAAGGTAACCTGAAAAGCGGTTAGACACGACTAGCGAATTAGCAGAGCAAAGAATAGTAGTGGCCGGCTTTACCTTTTAGCATTTAGACGAGTGGGCTTTGTCCTCTTCCGTTCTCATCGTCTATGGTGGTGGGGGTTATGTTTCCTACAGTTGCCTTTGGGCCTTGGTTGCTTGATTATGTTATATATATATATACATGTATTTACATCATTGATTATAAAATAATAAGCTTCTGCTATACAACAGGGACGACGTAGTTTTACAGTTTCTCGGGCCTACCTATCGGCGCCCGGCGGCGGGGAAATGAGTGAACGCGCGCGCGCAGTGTCAAAATTGACCTTGGACGAGTCTATTGCGACACCCCCAACCCCCTTCCCCCTCCCCGCTATTGTTTCACCGCCTCGGCACCTCACTGCCAGTGCCAGTAGTGTGCCAGTAACCACACAACACACACAGCTTACAGTCATGGACAGTCTTCATTACAACAGTGTGGTGTATTCGCCTGGTAGCCTACGTATAGTGCTCAGTTGCGTCTTGCGATTAGCTAGTGTTATTTTTTTTGTTCAAATTAATTTATTGAACAGTTGGTACTGTAATTTCACGCATTTGTGCACATGGCGTCTTCATCTGGAACAGTCAAGAAGCGAAAGCACACATTCCTTGCATTTCAAACAAAGATTGACATTTTGAATAGGCTTGACAAGGGCGAAAGTGGCTCGGCTCTTGCAAAAGAGTTTGGAGTGGGTAAGGCTACCATTTCTGACCTAATAAAACACAAAAATGCCATTCTAAATTTTGCATCAAAATTGGATTCCGAGGATGGCTCAAAGCTTCGCAAAACAACGAGGACAGCCAAAGCCAAAGCACTAGAAGACGCTGTTTTTGTTTGGTTTTCACAACGCCGAAGTTTAGGTGAACCTGTGTCAGGACCCTTACTTTGTGAAAAGGCATTGTTTTTTAACGAAAAATTAGGGGGGAGGGGCAGCTGATTTCAAAGCCAGCACAGGATGGTTAAAAAAACTTTGAAACACGTGATGGAATTAGATAGCTGAATGTTCAAGGTGAAGCTTTATCTTCTGATGTTCCTGCTGCAGAAACGTTCAAAACTACATTTCTAGATTTTGTTAATAGTAGTGGATATGCCAGGGAAGATGTCTACAATTGTGACGAAACTGAAATAAATTGGAAGGCCCTTCCATGAAAATCTTTAGCCTCACGCCGAGAGACAGCTGCTCCAGGATTTAAAGTTAGTAAGGAGCGTATTACAGGGATGGGATGGTTTGTGCAAATGCTAGTGTTGATCATGCCCTACCCCTATTGATCATTGGAAAAAGCAAGAAACCACTTAGTTTCAAGAACGTGACTCAGCTTCCCGTGACATACAAAGTTAAAAAAAGTTCTTGGATGAATAGTAAAATATTCACTGACTGGTATACGAATGTTTTTATACCAAATGTTAAGAAGTTTCGCAAAGACAGAAATCTTAGCGGAAAAGTGTTGCTTATAATGGACAATGCGCCGACACACCCCTCTGTAGAAGTTTTAAATCCAATTGACAAGGATTTTGAGGTGATGTTTCTTCCTCCCAACGTCACACCAATCCTTCAACCCATGGACCAGGGTGTTATTGAAAAGTTGAAGAGAATGTATAGAAAGCAAGTGCTGCGCAGGCTTCTTTTGGCAGAAGATAACGAGGAAATGTCATTCAGTTTGGGAAAAAACTAAATTTGAAAGACTCGTGCTACATGCTTGCAGATTCTTGGGACTTACTGGCCAAAGAAAACTTATCAAAAGCAAGAATAAACTTTGGCCAGAAAATAAAGATGGCTCAGAAGAAGACGACCCTGACAATGAACTAGCAACTCTTGAAAATGTGAGAGAAGTTGCTGTTTTGTGCCAAGTCAGTTCCAGGCTTTCAAGAATGTGACGCTGCAGATGTTGAAGAATGGCTCGACTTCGACAGAAATGACTTGGGCTACGAAATACTGGATGACAACGATATCACTACCTCGGTTCAAGAACCAGGAGATAATGAAGGCAGTGGCAGTGACAGTGACGAAGAAGATCCAGCAGACGGTGCAGACGACAACTCAGTCCCTTCGCATTCTGAAGCTTTTACGGCGTTAGAGACAGTGATGTCTTGGTACGAAACGCAGCCAGAATGTAGTCAAAGTCAGCTCTTGTTGCTTAAGAGAATGAAAGAATTGGCTGGCAGAAAACGTGTTTCGAAGCTAACACAACCAAAGATTAGTGCTTTTTTCAATGTGAAATAAAATGTTAAGTGATTGTTCAGTTACATTTAGAGTGTTTTCTTTTTGTGTTCTGTTAATGGTCGGTTTTTTGTTCGTTTCCAATTTATAAACTCTACATTTTACACAAGATAATAACTACAGTAATGTACCAAATATACGTAAGTACAAAAACTATTGTTTTTATTTCATTTACTGAACCCTAGAACTGTATTTTTAATACTGTAGGCCTAATTATGGGTCTATTAGGCATTTCTAGGTTATGTTTGAAAATCCGAACGAATTGGTAATCCGAACCACCTACGGTCCCAAATGGTTCGGATTTTCGACGCTCTACTGTATTTTGTTTGCAGTTACTGTAAAAACCTGTTTTAAATTTGCTATTTATTGAAACAAATCCCATGTTTCTAAGTTGCTTGGTTATTTCTTCATATAATCTTAAAATGTGTGAAATGATTTATGACCACCCTGTATATCCACATCATTAAGAGCTTATTGATAATATGTATCCAAAGAGGCTAAACAATGTTGACGCAAGTCTCCTAAAGTATTTTTTATTTTTACAGTTACGGAAAGTAAATAAAAGAAACGTCTTATAACACTTAAAACATATATTTACGCTTATACTGTTACTCACAAGACGGTAAATATACAAAAACGATGGTAAGTGGTGATCGATTTCGATTGGACACTCCAATCATCATCAGACCCAATAGGCGAATGACAAGAATCTTGAATGGCGTCCCTACTTATACCCTATTGGCTACCGGAAGCACCGGCCAATACATTTTTATAAGTACAACTGGAATCAAAATGTATTTGTTCATTAATCAACTTATTTCTATCTTTACATTTTTCCTTATAAATATACAATTCCTCCTAAGCATTCATTACATATCCTTTCTTACAATTCTTTAAAATATCTAGACTATCCTCCATTTTTCCTAGTGAGTGCCCATTTTGTAACAGGTGCTTGGGAGGAATTGTATATTTATAAGGAAAAATGTAAAGATAGAAATAAGTTGATTAATGAACAAATACATTTTGATTCCAGTTGTACTTATAAAAATGTATTGGCCGGTGCTTCCGGTAGCCAATAGGGTATAAGTAGGGACGCCATTCAAGATTCTTGTCATTCGCCTATTGGGTCTGATGATGATTGGAGTGTCCAATCGAAATCGATCACCACTTACCATCGTTTTTGTATATTTACCGTCTTGTGAGTAACAGTATAAGCGTAAATATATGTTTTAAGTGTTATAAGACGTTTCTTTTATTTACTTTCCGTAAATTTAATAAAACGTACAATGCTGATCAAGAAGTTATTTTACAGTTACACAGAGGTCGGGTTTCTGTACAAGCGTGTGTTTCACACTAATGGTCTGATGCGTACACGTCTGAATCCTGATGGGTCCAAGATGATAATATGCACAACTGGTGGTTACCTCATCCTTATACACGACCTGGACCTCAAAACCTTAAGGGAGGACCTTGAAGGATTTAAGGTAAGCAAATCCTAGTTCTCTCTTCATGAATTTTTACCTTGTATTATCTAACTCCTGGCATGGATGTAAGTTGATAACAACTTCTGTAAATATTGCAAACCAAAAAAACTAATTTAAACTATCCGTCCCATCAAAAATTAATTTAATTTGAAAAGCATTCACAAGACATGAGATTTAAGTGTTTACAAATTATGTTTTTCTGTTACAGCCCAACATGTACCGTCTGATGCAATTGTCACAGACAACGATCCCTGTGGCTGCTAGCTTTACCCACCTATTTTCACATAAGCGCAAAACCAACCGTATAGAGTTTGTCACTGACTTTCCTGAGGGAGACGATGCTGAAGTGGTTTCATCATTACAGGTATGGATAGCCAAATTATCTGTTGTCTACTCTTAAACATCCCTCTCGTGGTAGACAGCTGATACTTATCCTCTCTCATAACTAGGGATGGGTCGATTCCATTTTCGATTCTCTATTCCACCGATTCTTGGCTTAGAATCGGAATCGGGAATCGATCGCCTAAAGCCGATTCCGATTCAAATCAAATCAAAAGATCTTTATTTTCCTTATGTTCCTTCGATTCCAGGTGGTAGTTTTTCCGCCGACTAGTACATTAGCCTATATGGATTATTGTGTAATAAAGTTTATAGTAAGTTTGTATTTATTCCCTGATTCATCCTCCTTAAAACTGTAGGCCTAAGAAAATGCTGATTAAGAAACATTTCACATTCAACACCTCATTCCGCAATGTCATACTTGTCGACAATAAGCGGACGAAAGACTGAGACACGACGACACAACACAACACGGGCGCGGCAGCTCAGATGAGTCGAATCCGAATCTCAAATCCACCGAATCCTAAGTAAAGATTCGGATTCCAGATTCGATCGCTGACAGAATACGCCGCCACCCGCCAGCTTTACCTATCTATAATAACGTGTAGCAGCATAGGGACAGCATTAGCAGTGTCAGTGTCAATCTACGCATAGCTGGAACAAAGCCAAACTCGGTCTAAACACTCAAGGTCTTGGCTTAAATTACGTCCTGGTCGGCGGTTCGAGACTGATGGAACTGAAAGGCCTATTAGTTTTGCTTCACGTACTCTGACTAAATGTGAACAAAAATACAGTTAGATTGACAAAGAAGCAACATGTATATACTGGGGCCTCAAAAAGTTTTTCCCCTATTGTTACGGACGTAAGTTCGTTCTAGTAACTGATCACAAACCGTTAGTATCTATATTTAATCCAAACAAGACTTTGCCATCAATCTCAGCAACGAGGCTGTTCAATTACGCACACTTCTTATCTGGATTCAACCATCAAATCGAATACAGGTGTTAAAATTCGGAAATTGGAATTAAAAATTAATTATTAATTAATTAATACAATAAAAAACTCGAAGGACCGAGAGAGAATTAAATACAAAATACGAGTATAATACCCCCGCCGCAGCAAACCTGCAGACTAAGCGAATTTCCATTTGCCTGATTGGATTTACACTAAAATGTCTCCTTAAAAATATCACATTTATTCCCTATTTAAATAGAATCAGTTTAACACATACTTAGGTTTGCTGCAACAGGGAGGGTAAAAGTGTTTTTTTTATGTAAAATGTTAATAGTTAGTAAGAAATAAAAACATTTTCCAAATTTGGGCAAAAAATGTTAATAAACAAGCAAACTACAACAGTTTACGTATTCTCCATAAGAATAACATGGGAATTTTAAATTTACAATTTTTTGGAATTTTCTCCGTAATCATTAAGTGCATTATAACGCTTCAATATACTAAATTATTTGTTTTTTTAAGCTCTACAAAATAGTTTGGAAAGAAATTGCAAAATTTTATGTTTTTTGAGTCAAAAGTGGGAAAAACCCATTTTTACCCCATAAAACCCCCCATAAAACCCGTTCCCATGGTCCGATCATGCTGATTCGCGAACTCGTTCGAATAAACGTAGGTTTAGACGTTTGTACCAAATTTCATCAAAATCGGATCGTTTTTGCTCGAGTTATCGCGCTAACGGACACCAATGAATACACAAACTATAAAGAAGAACAGGTCCTATAGACAATATTCTAACAGTATTTTCAAATTTGGCGCGCGAAATATCTGTAGTTCTGCACTGAACCACCACTCAGCGCTGTTGTCAAGTTTAGCACGCGGTGAAGTGCGAGAGAGAGCGACATACACCGTTTTCGTCCCCTGTGGGCCAGGCCACGAGAGAAAGAGAGAGGGGGCGAAAACAGTGTATGTCGCTCTCTCTCGCACTTCACCGCGTGCTAAACTTGACTACAGCGCTGAGTGGTGGTTCAGTGCAGAACTACAGATATTTCGGGCGCCAAATTTGAAAATACTGTTAGAATATTGTCCATAGGACCTGTTCTTCTTTATAGTTTGTGTATTCATTGCGGACACATATATAAATATATATATATATATATTTAAATATATATATATATGAATTTGAACGGATGGTGTTTTTGGCCTCTAGGGACCTCAAAACGAAAAAAAAAAATCGGTCCAGGGTCCAGGTCTTACCATGAGTACTACGGTAATAGCTTATTCCCTATATGGGAAATTCGCTAAAACTAACACGAATTACACAAATCAACAAATTAAATTATTGGAAAGGAGGACACAGAGGGTTTTGCTATTCTGTGCTCTCTGGTTTATACACATGGAGGGTTTATATGAATAATTAATGAAGGATAGGCTATTAATATCTAGTGCTCACCCTTGGTTGTAGTTCGAGTAGCGTGTTGGCGGCGAATGTCCATGGAACGAAGAGCCGGCCGGCATCACAAGAGAAGAAATAATTTAACAATAGAGCACTTTACCAGGGCAAAATAGCCTTGAAGTAAATTGAGAGTAGAGGTAATTAGGAAAAGAATATTACATAATATTGAGACAAAGAGGGCAACAAATCAGTAAAATTACCAAACCAGGACCGACCGTCGCGTCAAAACGTTACACCGCGAACGCCATATTTTTACCTCTTCCACTTAGTAGCCACCGACGCCGGCAACTTCGCCAGCAGGTTAAAAAACAGATTTGCAAACCACGCAAAATGAGAATTTTTTATGCTAACTATTTTTTTACAAAATATACCAGCAAACATTGAATTAAAACTAAACATACCGGCGGCTTTGAATCAGTAAGGATTCAACAAAATCAAGTACAACAAAACCAAGATTGATATCAAATGAGAATAAGCTTAACAACTAAGAACTATATTATACTATGTACATTCTGAAGGTGAACTAATCAATTTAATTCAGAAACGGCAGCAAGCAGACTTTAACAGCTGGACGTGTGAAGGTCCCATGTTGGGTTTGGAGTTTGACGAATCGAACAATATTGTATCTTCCAGGGGTAACATTAGTTATTCTGGCAAGAGGCCAGCACATAGGGGGTGTATCTTGATGAACCAACACCAGATCCCCCACTTGCAGGTTTCGAGTGGGTTTGTCCCATTTAAGTCTCTGCTGGAGAGTGTGGAGGTACTCCCGACTCCACCGCTTCCATACACGTTGGGAGAAGGCTTGAATGAGCTGCCAATGTGACAGTCAATTACAGGTGTTTCGGCAAGATTGAGTTCCGGTGTTGCAGTGAGTGGAGCTCACTGACAGCTCAATTAAAAAATGGCCTGGGGTTAACGCCTGCAAGTCATTTCGGTCACTGGATAGAGCTGTAAGTGGGCGGGAGTTCAGCATTGCTTCCATTTGACAGGTAAGCAAGCAAGGGAGGGTGGGGTGAGTCGCTGTAGTCTAGTAGAGCAGATCTCGTTGTCCTTAAGGGCAGTGATATCATTAAGAAACATCTCTTGTTGCACCAGCTTGAAGATCCGCAGCTGAGCTGCTTGCACTTCCAAGACGGAGAGAGGCCCCGCTTGATGTTCCTGCCGGCGGCTGTGAGAAATGAATCGGAGGATGTAGTCCGTGACATGAAGGAGTTTTTCCCAAGACGAGAAGCGGGTAAGAAGATCCCAAGGTGAATGAGAAGCAGTGACAAGCACGGTGAGTGGAGTCGATTTTACTTCATCTAGAGAGTGTTCATCGATGGGTGTGAAGTTCGAAGTTGGTCAGTTTGTGGGTGAAAGTTGTAGCCAAGAGGGACCATGCCACCAGAGTGGATGATGGACAAGCTCTGAAGGGAGGATTCCTCGTGAGGCGCAGTCCGCAGGATTGTCGGTACTAGAAACGTGTCTCCACAAGAGTCACATCTGTAGAGTCACACCACAAGGTTATGGAGTCAATGGTTAAGACACTAGAATATTGAGACCGTACATATTGAACTAATTGAGATAGCAGATGCGCCGCGCACAACTCTAGCCGTGGCAAAGTCACTTTCTTCAAAGGTGCAGCACGAGTTTTAGATATTATCTGAGTGACACGAACATTCTGATCAGTGTTAACGTCTCGCAAATATACCACAGCAGCATAACCGGCCTCAGAAGCGTCCGAAAAACCGTGAAGCTCATAGATACCAACAGAAGAGAATATAATTGGTCAGGGAATCGACAGTCTATCAATGTTCTGTAGATCGGCTACGAAATTATGCCACTTCAGGGCGAGTTCCGAAGATAGGGGTTCATCCCAAGAAATACCGGAAGTCCATAGTACTTGCATGAAGCGCTTGGCAATCATGACACAAGGGGACAGAAAACCACATGGGTCGTAAATCCTGGCGATTAAACTTAGCACTTTGCGCTTTGTCGGAGATTCACAAGAGAAATTGAGATTGTATTTAAAACAATCTGTAACAGGAGACCAATAGACTCCTAAAATGGAGAACATAGGGTCTGAAGATTCTTGAAGAAACACAGGAGATTCTTGTTGAGAAACAGGCAATTGTTGTAGCAGTTGAGGACAGTTAGACACCCTGTTAGACACTTTCTTAATTCAAAACCGCCTAAGCGGAGGAGTTCAATTAATTGACCTTGCAGTTCCAAAGCTTCTGCTTCAGTTGATGCTCCAGCGATTAGGTCGTCCACATAGCTGTGATGTTGAAGGATTTGAGCCGCTTCCGGGAAGTTAGATCCTTCATCCTTAGCCAATTGTTTCAGGGTCTTTATGGCAAGGTATGGTGAACAGTTCATGCCATACGTCACAGTGGTCAACTGGTATGTTGACAGCGGAAGTGAGGGATTTTCACGCCAAAGGATAAGCTGATACCTTTGATCATCCTTATGGACTTTTATTTGCTGATACATCTGGCGGATGTCACAAGAAAAGACAAAGTTCTTTAACCGAAAATGTAATAGAATATCACAGATATTGTTCTGTAATTTCGGACCCATGAGAAGAATGTCATTCAATGACAGACCAGAACTGGTCTTTGAACTCGCATCAAAAA